TCAGCATTTGCATAATGCATATCTAACATAACTATTCAACTATTCTTACAACAGGTCTGTAAGGCAGGCCAGTATTATCCCCAACTGGTAAACTGCAGACTGTATCTGACAAAACAGCCTCCTGCAAAAGTCTGCCTAATGTTTTTGTGGGTGAGGTGAGAACTGAATAGAAACATAGAAACAGAGTGTGTCAGAAGGGGCATCCCAGGCTATCTAGTCTGACCCCTGGCTCCAGCCAGCTCCACTCATGACATGCCTACTAATAGGGATATATGAGAAATTCATTGGGTTTACATTTTAATGCAAACATGCCAAATGACCCTAAACATACCCTAAATATGAACTGAAATACAGTACACCAGAAAAACATGCATATTTCCAAAGTTTGCAATGCTGGTCACCAAAAATAGGTACACACAAAATGTGCACAAAAATACACATATTTGAAAAAGAAGCACAGATATGTTTTGCCAAAATCACCTAAAATGTGTACATTCCAAATGTGTGTGTGCATTAAAATGCACTAAACAGGTGTATTACCCCCATTGTGCACAAAAGTCCATATGCAATTTCATATTTAAAAATGCAGTGCAATGTAGAAACAAGACAGAACAAACTTGGAAATGAAACTATGAAAAACTGACTGAAATCAGGCTTGACAGCTTTGCCCATCCCTAGAATTAAACCACAAACCTCAGGTTGACACCAGTTCTCATATGGAAATCAGCCTAGGGATGGTAAAGTACATTTGTTGCCGTGCTGAAAATTATAATGTTAGGTAGAGCAGTCCTTACAGACGGTCAAAAGATCTGCAGCTGGGATTCCATGGATTAAATATAAGAATCATTAAAGAAGTAAAAGACTAAGAGAAAAGAAATAAAAGCATACACACATTCTTAAAGACATCATATTTGCCCCAGAATAACCTGTGGGAGGGCAGGGAATAAAGATAACATCTGCTATTTTTGCTATCAGGGGTTTAGTAAGATTATAAATAATAGTTCTGAAAAAGAAAAAATGCACATCTTAGTGGTACAGCTTATGTTTTCCATGCAGATGGTCCCCAGGTTGATTCTTTGCCATTTCCTGGTGAATGGATCAGGTAGTAAGTGATGGGAAAGCCCCTCTGTGTGAAATCCTGGGGAATGCTTGCCAATCGGAGCAGACTAGTGCGGGTAACGTGGCCCACAGGCTGCATTTCTCCTACCTTCGGACTTCTTTTGTAGGCTGCTCCCCTACCACTATTACATTATTGAATTTGAAATGGGTGGTAGCACAAAGGAGCTACTTTGCTTTTAAATCAGTAGTAGCAAATTTCAGCAGCAAAGCATTGCATTTTGCCTACTGCATCACTGCTGAATTTTGGCAACAACTCCAGTGGCAGAGTGGTTAGGAACAGAAAAGCGTTCCCACCGAGGTCTGGATGACAATGCAGACCCTGAGCCCCACCCTTGGAGTAGGTAATACTGAGTTAAATAATCTAACCTAGTATAGTGCAGCTTCCAATGTTCATCATTAAATTTAGAACAAAACACAACAGCAGGAGCAAAAACAAAAAGATGTGTCATCACTTTGGGTAGTACAAAACTATAGGAAAGGGGAAACTTGGAGTATGGGGCAGCATGCAAATGTAAAAATAAATAAATAAGGTTTATAAAAGCACAAGCAAGACCAAATGAGGATCTTGCTTGTGCTATAGACCTACATCTCATCAGCAGAAGCGATATGCTGGAGATCCAGCCAAATTCCTGATTTTCCCTCCATTATTAAATTGCTGCCCAGAAAAATCATGCCAGTGCTGCTGTTATATAAAAGGATGACATTGCAAAGTCTTCTTTTTCCAATAAGGCATATGTTTTGCATTTCCCTTGTAATAAAATACATCCTAAACTGCTCTTGATAGTAACTAGTATACTTATATGTGTCCATAAGGTGGTGCTGTTGGGCTAGAAATATTTTGCTTGCCTATATTTACTCTGCTGGACGGGCTTTTCCTAGTGGTTTGCAGTAAATCTACAATGGTTCTTGACTCACACTTAGTAGCAACCAAAAGGTAGCCCCTGGCCACCACCAAACCTGATAAAGTGAAGAAACATCAAGCAACCAGAAGTAGATTTTTGTGAGTTAAACTATTAAGGTCAGATATACTCTGTGCCGAGTGTGTACCCACCATCAATAATCCATCTCAGCTAACGTTATGCAAATACAGAGGTTGTGTGGATGATTCTTCAGCAGAAAAGTTCATGTGTCTTCTGAAGAAAGAAAGTTCTAAAACTACTGAAACCCAACTCAAAAGTAACTCTCACATAAACCCTGGAGTGATGGATGTTGCTTTGCGGCATGACAAAGGAACAGGGCATGAAAGTTCCTTTTGCTTCTTGTTCTTCCATAACAAGGTTTCATCTCAAGAAACTGATGTTTTGCATCTCTTCTTCTGCTAGCAAGATGTGAAGTTATAGCTTGTTTGGGATAGTTATACTGGAGAAAGTGTGCATTCTCTCTCTGGACCTTAAGGTAGCATCTGTCACTTTTGGTCAAAACTGTCCAAAGCTGGTCTAAGTACACAGCAATAGTCATTTAGTGAGGATACAGTCCACTAATTAAACATTTTGTGGTGGTATCCACAGCAGTTTCTCAAATTACCAAACATGTCCATGGTTCCAAAAAAGTTGGACAGCTCTCAACAGACTCCACAGACTGACACTAGCTCTCCATGTATCTTTTTAGCTGGGATTGAAACCGAGGTCCACTGCATGAGAAAAATGTCTTCTACCAATCAGCTTCATCCCCTTCCTTAGGCCACCTAAATCTATAACAGACTTTCTCCAGAATAAAGTTCCTCTGAATAATAAGCTACTTGTCTTGAACTTAGGAATACTGAGCTTTTTCCTATATACATTATGCTGTCCATTCACCATGGGTGGCTTCACCTTCCAATGCTTTGATCAATGTGGCCATTCATGACATTTAACTATGCATACAAAACCTTACATGTCAGGGAAAAGAGAAGCAATTGTTAACAAAGCCATATTTCTAGATTTTAAAAAGAACATCACTTCTTTGTGTCAAAAGTCAAATCAGACGTTTCTTTATTATTCAGACATTTAACAGTGGCTGGGGCAGAGAAGGGGAGAAGATACATGATATAATAGGATTTCCTTCTTAATTTGAAAAATCAAAGCATTCTTTTAATTCTTGAACCCTTTCAGAGAGGTAAAAAAAACCTTCAAAAGAGTTTTACTATTAAACCAGACCTCATCCTGGATGAGGACATTATATATGTAATTTATTATACTATCCAGAATATTCAAAACCCTGGTGATCCTGCATATATTTGGGCTGCAATTTTCAATCATGAAATCATTTAGTGTTCTGTTTTGAACTGGCAGAATTATATTTTACATACTGATAGCCCATTTTGTCAGATACACATGCTACATGCAGTTGCCAGATCTAGATGTAGGATTAAAAAGCACTGGCTTATGAGTAAAGTTAAAGCAAATGCAACTCCATTCATGCATCTGTAAGTTTCTTTTCCATGTGAACAGTTTGCATCTTCTGCAGTATCACATAAAAGTGTTTACATACAACTGTGGCAGGGACCCTCAGGTCAACCTAGTCCTCTTGGGATCCCAAACTGGTCCTCTTAAGTTCCTTTAAGTTCTCTCTTTTCTCTAGCCCCATTCCTTTTCCCCAATCACCAATTGTTTGCTGATTTCTTGGTTTTTGAGCAGTTCTTTCTCCACTCTTAAAGGTTGAAGTGGCTCTTTTAGGATCATTTACTAGCAGTAGGAGCTTTAACCTAAAATAGCCTGGTATTTTTGCCTCTACCCATCACTAAAGTGCAGACTACAAGAGCCTCTCTGAAAATGAATTTGGATCTTGGGTTGAAAAATACCCTCTATCTCAAGCCCTGCAGACTGAGGAAACACTAAAGCTTGGGATGCTGTAGGGAAGCTGTCACCACCAGCCATCATCACAACTCTCATACTTTTCAGCTAGCATGACCAATTGACTGGGATTTATGGAAAGCTGGCTGAAAATTATGGGAATTGTAGTTCAACACATTATGGAAGGCACGATGCTGGGGAAAGCTGCTAAAGAGGAAAGAGCACACGGATCTTTTGCTTTCCTCGATGCCTTCATTTTGATTGGAAAGAATGGTAAATGTTAGTAATGATGGGCTGTGTATGAAGAATACCGAGAAAGGAATAATGCGAGGGACACAAAGCTGTGTGCTGCTGGGAAGTGGGGATAGTATTATGAGACAACAGAAAAGGGAGAGGCAGGTCCTGTATACATGATTAAGCTTACGTCACAATAAATTTGTTGGTATTTGAGACAACACTGGGAATCTATGCTTCTTTTGTGGAACATGTTACACCAGCTTCCAGAATATAGTTGTACTCTAAGACTACAACCTCCATCATCCGCAGTCAACAAGCCAATGGGGGCTCTGGCTAGGGATGTGGCGGGGGTTGTAGTCCCAACACATTCAACTTCGGAAAGCTATGTCACCACACTGCCCTTCTTTTTCATCTGCCTTTGCCTGCACTGAAAGCCACCAAGTCTCTCCAGTCTTTTTCGCCCCGCTACACTTCTTCTGACGTCAAACCGCTCCGTTTTCGTTACCTCAGCAACCCGCCGCTCTATTTATAATATCGCGAGAGTTGGCGAGAGTTGGTTCTTTATTGCCTCTTCATCCAACTCTTTGACAGCCGGCCGTGGTTCCGTCTTCGAAGGAGGCGGGGCTATGCAAGCGAAGTGAGTGGAGGCTTCCGGCCAGGTTAGACACTGACGTGGAGAAGCCAGGGGGTGCCCCTGACTTAACAGGTAGAGGAGAGACGAGAAGAAAGCGCGCAGGTGGAGGCGGATGCGGAGCTCGAGCCAGGCGCTTCCGGTGAGGAAGAAGGCAGGCGGGCAGGCAGCCCCCACTGGGGGTGGGGTGGGGAAAGAGAGGGAGCTATTCCCCTTCCTCAGGGGGCCCTCGTCAGGGGGAACCTGGAGCGGGGGCCGAGCCTTCTAATCGCTGCATTCCGCACTTCGCATATAGACCTCCCCAGTCACGAAGGGGGTGATACTAGATAGGGGGCACACACCTTTTCCATCCTCTGCCACAGAAACGCAGCTAAAGATCCTAGCCTAAGGTTCACACCTCAGTGACAGGTGACGCATTGTGTAGATTTTTTGTGTAAGGGTGCCCGTTGGCCAGCCAGGAACAGCAGACACATAAAATGTTCATATGTCTATTATTACTTTTAATACATTTATGTTCCACTTTTCATCCAAGGAGTTCAAGTGAGCACAAATGGTATGACAGAAAGACAGAGAGAGAGAGAGAGACTGATGCAAGGCCACCCAGTGAATGTGGTTCAGTGATCAGGCACTCTTACTATTATGCCACACTGGCTTTAGAAGCACTTTGTTGTGGAGAAGTCAGCAAGTGAAAGTTCTCACAGCATGGAAAGAATTATGATCACTTGCTAGTATCAAGCTGATATTTTAAACATTTTTTTAAAAGGCAACCTTCTCCTTATTTAGCCACCTTCCTTTGTTTGTATTGGTATATTTGAATTATATAGAATTTTTGTCATGCAAAACGCTCTGTAGCAAAGTTCTGCATGACATAGTGTGAATCCCCTGTTGTAGACAGGAAATGTGAGGCTCAGAGACAGCATGCTGTTCCCAAAATAATTAGCCGAAGTAAGACTTGAATACATATTGCAGTCAAGATCTTAAGGCCGGGGGCTTAAAAAAAAAAACATTATTTTTTTCCTTTTTCTTGAATCCACCCTTGCTCCAGGGCTTTATTTCTGCTATGGCAAATTCCCATTTTCAATTTTTGTGCATCCAGCCCTATAGTCAAATCTGAGGACAGGAACATTTAGCAACTTGGGGGATGTTTGCAACTCGTTTGTAAGGGGGATATAGTACCCTCCCAATTTTTAAGACATGTGTACAGTTGATAATGAGAGTGGTGGCTGTAGCTCAGTAGCTAAGCTTTTACTTTGTATGTAGAAAGTACCAGGTTCATCTCCAGTTAAAGGATATTTGATTATAGTGCTGGGAAGGCACTCTGCTTGAGTCTCTGAAAGCTGCTGCTAATCAGAATAAAGGGCTAGATAGACCAGTAATTTGATTCCGGATGGGGCTGCTTCCTTAAGTCACTGCCATGTTTCATATTAATGTCGAAGCATTTTTCCCCCTGATAACCAAACTGCAAAGGCCAGTTTCTCAGTATTCCATTAGAGAGCTGCAAGAGTGGTAAAAATATAAAATAAACCCTTATCTAGAAGGTCAGTATTTCTAAAGATAAGCCTGGAGGCAAATGCTTTGATACCAAATGTCCTAAAAAGAAGTGTAGGTCAAGATAACCCTGTACAAAAGGTAATTAAATGTTTCCTGCTTACATTTTCTTTGTACTAATGGATATATTCCAGCTTGATTTAAAAGTGTATTTTGTTCTAAATAACTTTTCTTGATACCATAACAAGATGCATTTCTTGTATTAAATGTATATATGTGGTATGTTGAAAGAGAGCTGATCCTCACTGGATGAGCTGACACTATATTGCTGGTATACACCTACATTAAAGAGGTTTTTAATGACTTTTGCTGGTGGTACCTGCCTCTCAGACTGAGGTCATACAGAAAATAAAGGGAGACATTTTCACCCAACAATATTGTTTAATTAACATAGCTAAAGAGTGGAAGAAATATTTATTAAATGTGTGTTCTTTTATTGATTCAGACCTACAGGCAATGTTTGATTTAAAAAAAAAAATTCTAGTGAAAGCAGCATCCTGTCTGGACGTAAATGTGTATACACATCCAAATCATATACTGCATGTCCATGTCTGGGATATGATAAACATGCTGCTGCTACATTAAAGTAGATCTCCACATACAGTGCTTTTTTTGTCATAGAACACACCGGAACAGAGTTCCAGCACCGTTTTTCAACAGATTTTTCAAGTTTTAAAAGTAACTTTTGAAAATTTGATGTTTGGTCCATGTGAATTTGAATCGCCCTGTCGAGCATAGCAGGTTGGCGGTAAAATCATTAAAACGGTGCATGCAGGCTGCTTGTGTGTCGAATCCGATGCATGCGTACTTCGTCCGCGCTGGTTGTGATGGCGCTGCTCGGCTTGTGATTGGTTGTGTGGTCACGCGCTGAGTGCTTACTGCAGGCGGTGACCATTATGTTTTGTTACACAACTGACGTGTGGGTGTGTGTACAGTGACTGACTATGTGCAAAAGGTAAATAATTTCATGAGTTCTGGCACCCTTTTTCCTACAAAAAAAGCACTGTCCACATATAAAAATCTATCATGGGAGACTTGATACAACCCCCTCTTTCTGCTGATTTTCAAAGCATATTGCCCTGGTTTCTACTATTACCTTTCTACTGAGATACTGCTTTGTGCTGTTAACATTGTGCATCCATTGCATGCACAATGTGGGAATACCAGCCAGTCAGTGTCATTCCCATGTTACTTGAATGCTGGGACTGAAAAATGCAATTTGTATGGTGGTGTGACACAGTACTTACATGCTATGGCTGAGATGTATGTGCTCTAAAGTCTTCTTAGCAACAAAAGTGGTAGAGGTAGCAAGTTGCAGCTAATATTACCTTGCCAGATGCTTGCTATGTTATTCTGAGCTTTATTAGGTTGTTGAACAACAAAAATGTAGATCTGTTCAGAAAGTCAGAAGATCTTTCTCATTATCTTCCCTCTTGAACAGCAAATGGGCAGGAGGTAAAGCATCTTCTTTTACAAAAGCTGGAGCTTACAATCTGGTGTGTGGAGAGGAGAATTGTGTTTCTAATTTATGAGATGTGTTTATCAGTTGTGGTGAATTTTTCTCTTTTCTAGGGGCAATCAGAATCTCCCATGAGAAGACAATAATTTGGAACAATGTTTGCAGACTTGGACTATGACATTGAGGAGGACAAGCTGTAAGTACTTTACTGTTTTCCAGTTTCTGCCAATAGTGAATCTGTTGTTTTGCTGACAAATATCCTGTTTTTGGTCTGCTGGCTGTGAGAGCAAAATAGGGCATTCTGTGTGTGGCTGTGGATCCATAGGATCCCAAAATCCCTTCATTCCCCTTGTAGCCCAACAAAATTGACCGCAGGCCTTGCATAGTTGTTTTTTCTTTATGAATTAGTATGAGGAAGAAATGATGAATATTGCCTCCCATGCACCTTGGATGTAGCATGTTGGAAGGGCTAAGGATGTGTTGGTTGCTCGTACCCTCTCAGAAACAGGGTAGAAAATTGCTGAAAAAATTGCTCTATACCGTCTGCTCTGTTGATGTACAACTGAAGGAGAAGGCCATTGTCAGGGTTCAGATATATGCGGTACTTATGTGTTTATCGAAACTAAATTTACCTTAATACTTAACAGCATTATATGCGTTCTCATCTATAACGTAAAATAGCAAATTGTGCAGTTTTGTATGTTTCTGAAAAAAGTTGCTCTAGTCAAATTAAACTGTTACAAATGCACCTGGTATTAGAAATAGGTCTGCAGGCTGCTACATCCTATGTAATCATTTTCTGCAGTCAGCAGGCCTATGAGACAGGTCATCAACCTAGGGCACCAGATCAGAGACACGTAGTGGGCACATCTGGTCTACCTGCCAGATGTGCACACAAGCATTAGGTAGAAATTAGCAAGTCCAAATAATGACTTTGTCTTCAAATCTCTTAGGTGATTTAAAGGGGCACTGTGAATACGATTCTGAAGTTTCAATGCATATCCCAAGCTCTATTCCCCACAAAAACATCCTTTCTTCTCTTCTCTTAGAATAAAATATTAAGGGCAGGGAATGAAGAGAACTTGTGCATGTATGAAAAGGTTCTCTGAGAGAAGAGAATGGGGATTGCTAGATTATTTATTTACTGCCTTGGCCTTCAAAGCAGAGCAGTGTCTTTGTTATACAGCTGCTCTTTGGGATCATCCTTGATATGTGATATTAAAGAGCAGCACAGCAGCCTCATTAATTCCACGTATGGATGATGTGCCAAATATGATGACAGACCCCTGTAAGAGAAAGAGTTTAGGAAAAGATGTAAAAAGGGATATTTTACTTCCTATGATAACATAATAAACTTTTAGTAACAAGAATGCTCTGTTTGAACCAAAATACATGGTACAATTCATTATTAGTTCAGTTCTGGACTTCTTTCACACAATGGATTTGTTCAATCTCAGTCTTAGCCAGGGCCCATAGCTGAATGGAAACATATGAACCAGGTAATCACACAGATATAGCAAGTAGAAATTTCTATTATTGTTGTATGATGGCTGTTTTTCTGACTATGGTAGACTGATAGTTATGTTCCCGCTTAGAAAGACTAAAATGTATGTTGTAAGTAAACCACATAATAGATATTACAAAGATCTATTCTTCCCGGGCTGGAAAATTCCAAATGTCAGGCAATACCTGGAAGTTAAATACAAATGCAGCATGGTGCTGAAGCATGGATTATTTGCATAAGTGTGTGGGTCATTCGTTATATAGGGATGGTGGCTTGCCTAATACGTTTCTTAAAAAAATAATTCAAATAATATATAAATAATATTTTGAACATTTTAAAAATGACATACAAAAATTATCTAGAAATTTGGTGCCACTTCCCAGGAATCTGATTTTTTTTTTTCAGTTTTGAAAACATATAAAGTAAATTTGGGCAGCTTACAAAATTTTATTAGCATCCTTTAAAATTTCAGTTTTTATTTTTTAGAAAAAGTATATTGTCTTTATGATTCTGAAGATAAAGTTAAAAATTTAGCAGCAGAGTGTGATGAATGCAGAAAAATCATTGGAGGGGGAAAAGCTTAAATGCATCAGCTTATGCCCAGCTTTCAAAAATCATGAAACTGACATAATTACCAAAGCACTGTCTGGAAGTGTATATATCACATATCACTAATTTTGTAAAGTTAAGGACTCTGTAGTATGCATGTTTAGCAGAAAAAGGGACTGCAGCTCCCAGCATGACCCAATGAGCCATTGCATAAGATTACTTTTTTAAAGAATAACATTAATTCACTTAATATGACTTGCAACCTATTGTGTTGTTGCAAGCTTTCTGCATCTTACAGAAGTACACATCTGTACACACACAATTGTTCAAAGAAGTGCAATATACACTTACAAAAAGAGATTTCTTTATTGTGGCACCTTGACTTTGGAATGCCCACCTGAGACAGATATGATTAGCATGACTTTGAGTTCTTTTTGGCACCAAATTAATACATTGCAGTTTGCCTAGGCATTTTGTGAATAATTTTGAAAACTTGGAATTTTCAAAAAGGAAATTTACTTTAGCTTGATGTAGGGAAGTTAGTGGCTTTATGGTTTTTCTGCCTCTATCCATTTTATGTACACTACCCTGGGATTGCATGTAGTAATGAAGGAGTGGCATAGACATTTAAAATAAATAATAATTATCATGAACAAATGTGCAAATGTATTTCACTCTGTGTTTGCATTAGAACCATTTGTGTCTTGCAGAAATGAACATCTTTGGGCGCATCCTATACTAGTTAATATCAAAAAGAAAAATACAATTTGCAACATTCCCTCAGACAATAAACATGCCTAGGATTTTGCTCTTACTAACATATCCTTTTGGTGGAAAAAGCAGGGACAGTGAGTTGTTGGTGGCAGTTTTTATGTGTGCCCCTGTTTTGCTTTAGGGGGATTCCTACAGTCCCTGGCACGGTGACCTTGAAGAAGGATTCTCAGAATCTAATTGGAATCAGCATAGGAGGAGGAGCGCAGTGCTGTCCCTGCCTTTACATTGTTCAGGTTGGTGTTTGTGGGAGAGGATTTTATCACTGAGAAGAGATGGGAGGTAAGAACTGTGTGCAGGATGAGATATGACCTTAGTGCTGAACACATTGCTGTCCTTGGGTTCACAGAAACTCTTCTAGCCTTGCAAACCAATGCCAAAACCATGGATTGGGTTATCTATAGAGCAGTGATGGTGAACCTTGTAGAGACCGAGTGCCCAAACTGCAACCCAAACCCCACTTATTTATTCCAAAGTGCCAACACGACAATAAAACCTGAAAACTGAGGTTTTAGTTTAGAAAAGACAACTCACAGCCAGTCTAAGAATATGAATATATATATTTGGCAGTGCACTGACCAACCATGCGAAAGCTTGGATGCCTTGGGGCTAATGAGTTGTGGGTTGTGACGTCATTGCCTGGCAATGCTACTCCTTTCTGAGCATGCGCATGGCCCATATGTGTGCTGTTATCCAATGCTCGGCTGCTGGGGGGATGCTGGGATAACATGGCTCGAATGATGACAGAGAGGGCTCTGCATGCCTGCTGTTGCACGTGTGCTATGCATTCACCATCACTGCCCTAATCCTACCCTGGTGCACTCCCCTAACTATAATGTAGCGGTAAAATACCACTGAAAGTGGAGATTTTGAAAAGGACTTCCTTAAGAAGTTTTCTCTGCACAGCTCATCATTTCTGCCCATTGTAAACGCATTCCAACCATCAAAATGATGCCAGGAAGCCTCGTTCTCATACCTCTAACCCTACCCTGGTGCACTCCCTTAACCCTAATAGAGGGCGAAGGTTCCATTGAAAAGAAGGCGATGTTGAAAAAGCCTTTCCTTAGCAGCATTTTCTGCACCACTCATCGTTTCTGCCCATTACAAACACATTCCACCAATCAAAATCATGCCAGGAATCTTCGTTCTCATCACCCTAACCCTACCCTAGCGCATTCCCCTAACCCTAATATAAAGCTAAAGTTCTCTTGAAAAGAGGGCGATTTTAAAAAAGGCTTCCTTAAGTAGATTTTTCTGCACAGCTCATCCTTTCTGCCCATTCTAAGAACATTCTAAGCATCAAAATCATGCCAGGAAGCCTCGTTCTCATAACAACCCTAATAGAGGGTGAAGGTTCTATTGAAAAGAAAGCAATTTCGAAAAGGCCTTCCCTGAGCAGGTTTTTCTGCACCGCTCATCATTTCTGCCCATTCCAAACACATTCCAACCATCAAAATCATGCCAGGATACCACATTTTTGTAACCCCAACCCTACCCTAGCGCATTCCCCTAGCCCTAAAATAAGGGTAAAGTTCTCTTGAAAAGAGGGCAATTTTGAAAAAGCCTTCCTTGAGTAGCTTTTTCTGCACAGCACATCCTTTCTGCCAATTCTAAGAACATTCTAACCATCAAAATCATGCCAGGAAGCCTCGTTTTCATGACCCTAACCCTATCCAGGTGCACACCCCTGACCCTAATAGAGGGTGAAAGTTCCATTGAAAAGAGGAATTTTGACAAGGCTTTCCATGAACAGCTGTTTCTGCACAGCTCATCATTTCGGCCCAGCCTAAACACATTCAACCATGAATATCATACTAGGACACCAAGATTTGTCACCCTACCCTAGCGCATTCCCCTAACCCTAATATAGAGTAAAGTTCTCTTGAAAAGAGGGTTATTTTGAAAAAGCCTTCCTTGGGTAGCTTTTTCTGCACAGCTCATCCTTTCTGCCCATTCTAAGAACATTCTAACCATTGAAATCATGCCAGAAAGCCTCGTTCTCATACCTCTAACCCTACCCTGGTGCACTCCCTTAATCCTAATAGAGGGCGAAGGTTCCATTGAAAAGAAGGTGATGTTGAAAAAGCCTTTCCTTAGCAGCATTTTCTGCACCACTCATCATTTCTGCCCATTCCAAACACGTTCCAACTATCAAAATCATGCCAGGACACCACATTTTTGTTACCTTTACCCTACTCTAGCGCATTCCCCTAACCCTAATAGAGGGTGAATGTTCCATTGGAAATCAGGCGATTTTGAAAAAGCCTTCCCTGGGCAGCTTTTTCTGCACCGCTCATCATTTCTGCCCATTCCAAACACATTCCAACCATCAAAATCATGCCAGAATTCTTCGTTCTCATAACCCTAACCCTACCCTGGTGCACACCCCTAACCCTAATGAGGGCGAAAGTGCTATTGAAATGAGGGCGATGTTGAAAAAGCCTTCCCTCAGCAGCTTTTTCTGCACTGCTCATCATTTTTGCCCATTCCAAACACATTCCAACCATCAAAATCATGCCAGGAAGCTTCGTTCTCGTAACCCTAACTCTACCATGGTGCACACCCCTAACCCTAATAGAGGGCAAAAGTTCCATTGAAAAGAGGAATTTTGACAAGGCTTTCCTTGAATAGCTGTTTCTTCAAAGCTCATCATTTTGGTCAATCCTAAACACATTCCAACTGTGAAAATCATACCAGGACACCACGTTTTTTTAAGCCTAACTCTTCCCTTGCGCATTCCCGTAACCCTAATAGTGAGCGAAAGTTCCATTGAAAAGGGGGCAATTTTGAAAAAGCTTTCCTTGAGTTGCTTTATCTGCGCGGCTCATCATTTCTGCCCATTCAACACATTCCTACCATCAAAATCATGTCAGGAAGCATCGTTCTCGTAACCCTAACCCTACCCTGGTGCACACCCCTAATCCTAAAGAGGGCGAAAGTTCCTTTGAAAATCGGGCGATTTTGAAAAAGCCTTCCCTGAGCAGCTTTTTCTGCACTGCTCATTATTTCGGCCCATCCTAAACACATTCCAACTGTGAAAATCATACCAGGACACCACATTTTTGTAACACTGACCCTACCCTAGCGCATTCCCCTAAACCTTATATAGACCTGAAGTTCTCTTGAAAAGAGGGCAATTTTGAAAAAGCCTGCCTTGAGAAGCTTTTTCTGCACAGCTCATCCTTTCTGCCCATTCCAAATGCATTCCAACCATCAAAATCATGCCAGGACACCACGTTTTTGTAACCAATACCCTACCCTGGTGCACACCCCTAACCCCAATAGAGGGTGAAGTTTCCATTGAAAAGAGGGCGATTTTGAAAAAGCCTTCCCTGAGCAGCTTTTTCTGCACCGCTCATCATTTCTTCCCATTCCAAACACATTCCAACTATCAAAATCATGCCGGGGAGCGTCGTTCTCGTAACCCTAAGCCTACCCTGGTGCACACCCCTAACCCCAATAGAGGGCTAAAGTTGCATTGAAAAAGAGGGGTTTGATAAGGTTTTCCTTGGACAGCAGTTTCTGCACAGCTCATCATTTCGGCCCATCCTAAACAAATTTCACCCTTCAAAATCATACCTGGACTCCTCGTTATTCTAACCCTATCCCTGTCATGGCGATCCTTTTAAAGACTGAGTGCTCAAACTGCAACCCAAAACCCTCTTATTTATTGCAAATTGCCAACACTGCAAGAACCCTGAAAACTGTGGTTTTAGTTTAGAAAAAACAACTCCGAGCCAGTGCAAGCAAAATATATATGCATCCTTGGCAGCGCACTGAAAGGCCAAGCGAAAGCTCAGATGACTTGTGGCTAATGAGTCATGGCTCATGATGTCATCGCCTGGCGCCACTACTCCTTTCCGAGCATGCGCATGGCCCTTTTGTGCGCTGTTATCCGATGCTTGGCTCCTGGGGCGGTCCTGGGGCGACTTGGCTCGCGTGCTGACAGAGGGGGCTCTGTGTGTCCCCTGTGGTACACGTGCCATAGGTTCGCCACCACTTCTCTAGAGTCTCCCTTTTGTGAACTCATTTATTTGGTGGGTGGATCTGATATCCAGAGGAGGCTGCCACTTGAAGAAGTGTGCACTGTGGAGGCAATTGTCTTTGCTTCCCTTGTACATGCGCACCATCGCAGTATCACCTCTACCCTGTGTTGAAACTTTCCCAAAGAATTCCCTGAACGGTTATATTGGGGAATTTGGGGAAGTCAGAACAGAATTTGGGTCATAGAAACTCAGGATCCAATACAATGTTTCTGCTTGCCACAGTGTAGCTTCAGTGACAGGACAGCTAATTATGTAAGTCTACTGGTTTTCTGATGAGGTTTAGTTAATTTCTCTTTTTTTTCAAAAATATTTTTCATAACTGGTAAGAAAAGGTAAAACTAACCTTATTGAATAACCCTGGAATCTAAAAGAAATTCCACTAGAGGAAAATAGCAGGGAAAGAGAAAGCTGTGAAAATATTCAGTGTTCTTCAGCAACCAAGAGTTAGGCTGTGGGCATTTGCACAAGTGACAGAGTACCCTTTCTCATTGTCTAGTTTTGCCTTTCTCATGTGCCCTTTGGATTTTCAGACGACTGTGCATCTTCCAGTAATCTTGGCCATTGGCCATGCTCTCTGGAGCTGATCTAAGTAATTGCATTAATTTATTACATACGTAAAATGTGAAAAACAACCCTATTTAATGTGAAATATGACTGTTTAATTTGGATGGTGTGAAAGATATATGGTCATAGTATCTGAAAGGCATATATTATTGCTCTCTGAGAGTATTTTCAGCACAGAAAATGCAATATTAGAGGCATTCCACCTTGACCTGATGATTTAGGATTCTACAATTGTGCACATGTGCACATTAACAACATCTAGTCTTGTTAATTTTGATTTTATCAATGTTCTTTCTTTTTACTTATTTAAGCTTTGTTGTGCACTGCCTTGAGAAGACTTCTCTGAAATTCTGTTTAGCTTCTAAATCTTTTAACTGCAATTAATTTCAGGTTGCGTTTTTTAAGTGAATTAAAGTAAATACATGTTTTATGGGAAAAAGTTAAAGGCTGAGATTATCATCCATCTGTGCTTGTTCAGGTATGCAGCCACAAAAATAAGTTATATTTTTATGCAAGAGTATGAGCCTCTGTGAATTTAAAGGCTTCCTATTGATAACATGACCTTCCTATTGATAACATGACATAACAAAGATTCTGTGTTAGTCTTCTGCTTTCCCACTCCTTCCTTTGGCTTCTTTCTATGCCTTCACCTTCCCTCTGTCTTTCTCCTTAGGTGTTTGATAACACTCCAGCGGCTCTAGATGGAACTTTGGCAGCTGGTGATGAAATCACAGGTGTGAATGGAAAGTCAGTCAAAGGGAAAACCAAAGTAGAAGTGGCCAAAATGATCCAAGCAGTGAAGGTGAGAGGTAGGAGGGGATGTTGCTGAAATGCAAAGGAGCACTAGTTGCTGCTCTTCAGTGGAAATAATAATCCATTCCTCTTGAATGCAGAATAACAGCCTGGGTTTTTGCTATTCTAGGGAGAAGTGACAATCCACTACAACAAACTCCAAGCTGATCCAAAGCAGGGAAAGACCTTGGATATTGGTATGTCTTTCTTATTGTCCCTAAATAATTAAAGTTGGGCTGGCTTTCCTGAGGCATTTTCTCAGCCTGGTTCATGCAGATCTGATAAAGCATAAACATTTATTCTGTGTGTGCTGTGAAACGATCTCTCTCCTGCAATGCAGTGTTGAAGAAGGTGAAGCACCGCTTGGTGGAGAACATGAGTTCAGGGACAGCAGATGCCCTGGGGCTGAGCCGAGCTATCCTCTGCAATGGTAAGTGGCATGTGAAAAGTAGCTTCCTCTTTGCATCAAGTAAAGCCAAGGATTGCATCAGCACACCTACATATGCACAAAGGCTGCATTCTCCTGAAACTTGCCTTCGGTGTAGGCTCAGTAAGCTCTGGAATCAAGAGCTACTGTAATATTATTAAGTAATCTGTGAACCAAGGGATCTCTGTTTCAAATATTACTCTTCCAAGCTAGTATCTTTCAACCTTATCTTTCAGTCCCCATCTAAAGTATGGGGTGATTGCTGTTCCCTACAGGATTGCTTAAAGGATTACTGAGATAATAATTGTGAAGTGTTTGAATACTTTAAAGCATGAGTGCAAAACCTTTTTCAGCCCAGTGGCTGAACTTGGTTTCAAAGACACTCTCAGAACTGCATCTGGGTGTGGCTTGGCTACAGGCAAAAGGGGGCAGAATGAAAAATATTAAAAATCTCAGCATAGTTTAGGTTAAAGGTCTTACTGCCAGTAACTAGGAGGAGCATTTCAACCTTTTAGAATGGGGGAAGGAGCCCACACAAAAGCTGGGAAAGTACCACACAACCAGCATGCAAGGGAATTGGGTGGGCCTTAGGGAAGGGTGTGTGGCCATCTGGGTAACCCAGGAGGGTCAGGTTGGGCTTCCAGATGGGCCTGCTTTGGCCTGCTTTTCAACACCCCTGCTTTAAAGTGAAAAATAGACTCTGCTGTTACTGTTGTGCTGGCAGGCTGATCCTAATATCCTGCACATTGGCTTAATTGCTTGAGTCATTTGTCACTCTCTGCTATGCAAGCCCATTGGTGTGATGCACCTTATTAGCTCCTGCTTTCTGTTTCTGACAAACTCATCTAGGGCACTTGCATTAGTCTGTGGGTCCTGCTATATAGAAAATCCTCCCTCCTTGGATTTTGAGAGTGAAAGATAACATGTTCAGGTTTGGGTAATGGCTCTTGTAGGCCAGTTTACATCCTAATATTAATTGCATGTAGTGGTTTTGGTTTGCTTGTTATTCCATAGGAAATTCTAAGAGTCTGACATGAGCTCTGAGGCTCCAAGGCATCACCCTCAAACAGGGTTAGAAGGACAGTGATCATCTGGCAAAGTAAAAAAAAAATAATAACGAATGTCAGTGGTCATTTAATTTAGACATTGACCCATATGCTGTTAAACAATGTTGTGGTGTTTTATAATGAAGGCCTTCCAAGACATGGTTGCATGGTTTTGAGTGAAGCAATCTGAATTTAATAAAGCTAGGGAAACCATTTTAAAAATGTCCAAGCAGAGGCTGTGCATTGCACTTGAGAGCAGTGGCTTCCCTGTGTTTTTGGGATCAGCACAATCATGGAAGTCGCAGCAGCTACAAGTATCTGTGTGGAGGCGCCACTTGATTCACAGGACACTTCTTGTGTCATGCCAAGTTACAAGACTGACCATGGCCTTACATGAGCCTGAGGCAGAAAAGATTGATGAAAAATGTATGATTTGAAAACTACAAATATTCCTTTAGAATTTGTAAAATGTGTCTAAACTTAGGGCCTTTTCTCTCTTAGTCCAGGTGGCAATAATCTGTAGCAAGGTCCTTGTACCAGTCGGTCTGTTCCTTTTTCTCAGTTAGCTCTTTCTCCATTCAGATTATTGACTGTTCTCTCTCTCGAGCTACTGCTTCAACTTTCTCCATTTGCTTTTCTTGCCGTTTTGAATGGGGTTACAATTCTCTGCATGGTATAGTCCCCAACACTTTAACATTTATTTTTAGAAGTCCTTCTCAAATTTTCAGGGATCCTTAGCTAAGTAGTGCATTTATAGGACATATGAAAGCTTTGATGTTAAAATCTTACTAAGCAAGTTCAACCATTATGGCATAGGGTCCCTTGTGCTCCTATATATAATCCTCTGCCCTTCATCATTATAGATGGGCTGGTGAAGAGACTGGAAGAGCTGGAGAGGACTGCAGAGCTATACAAAGGTATATCTACTCTTTTTTCCCCTCCTTTGCAATCAGGAAAGGGCTCTCAGGGCTCATACTGATGAGCTCCTTTCAATCCCTCAAGTAATCATTTCCAGAGCTTACATACTTATATACAGGGCTTCAGTCCAGGGTGATATACCTAATGGGCAACCTGTTTGCCCTGACAGCTATATGGAATAGTGGGAAGTGCCCTGGGGGCTGTATGCCAACAGTAGAGGATGCCAGAGCTAGAGGTGGGGTCTGATTCCTTCCATATACACACCTTCATTCTCTCTCTCTCTTTCTCTCTCAATATCTCTCCTCAGTGCATGGGGATGGAAAAGCTTAATTTCCCTCACTAATGAGATCCAATATCTCCTCCTTCTCTGCTCCCAGCTGATTAGCATGAGGAAAGACTGAAGAGCACCAATTAGTGCACTAATAGATTAAGAGACATGTAGTGGAATCGCTGTGATCCTACCACACTCCTTCCACAGCTTCCACTGCCCACCACACCAGCTTACCCTAGCAGCTGGTGATGAAATCACAGGGGGTGAATGGAAAGTCAGTTTATAGCACCAGTCAGCAGGGGAGCTGTGGAAGGAATTTGATGGGATCACTGAGATCCCATTATGTACATCTTCTCCTCTTTGCTGGCCAACTGATTAGTGTTTCCCAATCACCTGGGAGCAACAGTGAGGAGGTCATTGCTTGCCATGAGCCTCAGTAGCAGCTTCTTCATGCCTGTAACAGGATTGCTTGCTCAGCACCAGACAATACATCTACCTATTGTAGATACAACAACTCCCACAACAACCTGTGGGTTATCAAAGTGTCTACTTGCCCATGAACAAGGCACCCTGGGGAATTCAATCTGAAGGGTTGTCATGTAATATAAATTGAATCAGTTTCACTAATGAGAATCAGCATGTGCTAATTTTTTCACATGATAGAAAACTTAGTTTCATTGTGAACTTGTCTCTAGTTACTGTTTGCTTTGTTTTCTTATCCCAAGCATCTAGTTAGTGTTGAAGTACCAAATGCAAAAGCGATAGAACCTCCCGTGTAAGTGCATCTTTACTGAAATTACTGTTGTACTTCTTTTCTATCTCTGCCTAGGCATGACGGAGCACACAAAGAACCTCCTCAGAGCTTTCTTTGAGCTGTCTCAGACTCATAGAGGTAAATGGACCAGAAAGCTGCTTGGCTTAAGATCACAGCATCATGGGCCACACTGCCATACACAGGAAATCTCTCATTATCTTAGATCTTGAAAGGACAAGAATGTCCCCCAAGGCAGTCATGAGAAAACTACAAGAAATAGCGCTGCTGATTTGATACCATTGGATTAGAGGTTATGCTTCCAATGAAATTTTAGTTTTGGGGAGATTGCTGCTCTCCATTGTTTGCCCTGACAGATTTCATATGTTCCACTTAAAATGCTTTTAAGCCTTATTCTTGCTGTTGGTCTGCATGTATGAAAAACAGGACACACATTTTCAGTATGGAACAATTTGTAGATCAATTCTGCTGCCATTTAGAAAGATTGCATTTCAACTGCTGTGCATTATTTGTGTCATATGCTTTCTGTGGACAGATGCATTCAGTACTTTCTGAAATATATTTTTAGTTCTCTACTCAACACTTTTCCCAGAGAGTTGCACATGTCTGAAGAATGTCCTTTTCTACCTTCTAACATACCCTGGTAGGGAAGTGTGTGGTGGAGGGAAGCACCGTCAGGTTCACCAACAGAGATTTCTTTCACTATTTCCCTTCCCTGCTTCCCAAAGCCTCACTATTTTCAGTCAATCCTCCTATTTTCCCAGCTGCTTTTATTGCAGCTCTGAGAAGAAGAGGGACAAGTTTTGGTTGTCTTCAAAAATGCAGTGCAAAAGTGCACTTTTGTGCAAAGTAATATGATGACTTTTTTTAAAAAATGAAGGTTGGTCTTGTCAATTTCATCAGAGGTACCAGGGGTGGCTGGCTCAGCTAGTACAGCGGATGGGAACATTTGGCTCCCTCTGGACTTCACCTTTACTCAAGCTTCACCTGAATCTACTGGAGGCTTAGGAAGGGGGAAGGAATCCTCCTATTATTTCCAATCTGCCCTTCTCCTTCCTGACCTTGCTTCTGCTGTACCCTCGCTACTGGAGAAAGCCACCCTACTGGCTAAGGAATCTGCTGGAACACTCCAACTGTGGCTTCAGTTGGGGCTCCTTCACCCATGCCATGACTTCCCATATTAGATACCATGCAGAGGAGGCAAAGTGGCCTCAGGTGAGGTTATGGCTGGAGTGCTCCAGCTTGCACTTTATATCAGGGAACACATCCTGCCCCAAGTCCCAATTCACTTCCCCTTCCTTGAGCGAGATGCAGTTTGCACCCATCTCTAGCACATCAAAACAGTATCAGCAGGACAGGAAGGTGAAACATGCTTTAATGATTGTTGGTAGAGATGCAGTGACTTTTAAAGCAGTACAAGTATAGCTTTTCTATTGTGGTAATAAATATAAGCTGAAGTTAACAGAGATTTGGAAGTGATAATCAACATGCCTGAAAATGCCTTTGATTTGGGCCACAGTCCTCAGCTGTATGTTTTTTGTTTGTTTGTTTGTTTGTTTGCTGTTTTTGCACAGCATTTGGTGATGTGTTCTCAGTCATTGGTGTACGAGAGCCCCAGCCAGCTGCTAGTGAAGCATTTGTGAAATTTGCAGATGCCCATCGCAGCATCGAGAAGTTTGGAATCCGCCTTCTAAAAACTATCAAACCGGTAAAGAAACCTATTTCAGGAGGAAAGGCGTGTTGGTGGGAGGAGGGAGTAGAACTAAGATTTTCTTTTCTAGGAGAAACTGTCTTTGTCTTCATTGTGTTCAAGATGATTCAAAGTGTACAAAAAATTCTTTTCTAAAATGCTGTTAAAAATGTGATGTACAAAATAGTATTATAATATTATGATGTGCATATATGCAACCATAGGAGAGAGGTCATGTAGGTCAAAGTGGTGATTATATACCACAGTGTCTGAGAGGTTTTACAGAACAGTGAAGTCTGTCAGTGCCCCAAAGCAGAAAGATGGTACCTTCTTCCGGATAAACTTGAGATAGGGTAATAAGCAGTAGGTTAACCATTGATTAAATAAACTATTGCTTACTATTATTTTTATTGTGCATTTCATTAAATCAAAACAAAGATAAAATGAAAAATGTAAATAAAATAAGATAAAATACTAGGTTTCTTACCTGACATTTGAAAAGATCCTTTTTAATGGATACATACACAATATTTGCCCCTATGTATTTCCTATTAAGTGAAATAGACTGTTATCCATAGGAATAAATCTACATAGACTTCAGCAAAGGCAGACAAAATAGTCATATAAATTTTCCATTTGCAAATTATACCTAAAGACCACTTTTTCAAAAATTGAAATCATTCTTAAATGCTCAGCCTGTTGTGTTATTGAAAGTGCCTGTTTTTCCTTCCACTGTTGTAACATTAGTCTTTCAGTTGTCAGAAGGGTGTGGCAAATCAGATTTCACTTACTTTGAGTTAAGTTCTAAGATATAAGCAGATAATTGAGAAGAACATGTACATCAATAAATATCAGAGGGCTTTCTGTCAAAGTTTATTGAGAAGAAGCCCTTTCCTTCCAAGAAGAGACAGCTGCTGAGCATTGCGAAAACCTGTAAGAAAAATATTACATCTAATACAACTCCTATTTAATCAGATCTTTCTTGGAAGACATAGTGGCACCCAATATATAGAAACATAGATTGAGTCAGAAGGGGTCTCCTGGGCCATCTAGTCTGACCCCTGGCTCCAGCCAGCTCCACTCATGACATGCCTACCATGTGCATGTCCAGCCTATCCTTAAACACCCTCACCAATGGGGCTTCAACCACCTTCCGTGGAAGCCCATTCCATACTCTAGGGGTCCTAACCATCAGGAAATGCATCCTGGCATCCACCCTAAATCTTGGTTCCCTGAGCTTTGCTCCATTGGAACACATCCTGCCCTCCACTGCTGGGGAAAAATGGTCATGACTCATCTCTGTGTGGCACTCCTTCCCATACCTCTATGTCGCTAACAGTTCCCCTCTGGGTTTCCTCCTCTCAAAGTTGAAAAGACCCAGCTCCATCAGTCTCTCCTCATATGGTTTTCCCTACAAACCAGCCACCATCCTAGAGGCCCTTCGCTGTACTGATCCCAACCTTGAACATTAGTTTTTTTTTTCCTGAAGCAGACATAACCTAAGTTTTCATAACCCTTCTGAGATAGGTTCCGATGCAGCAATCCATTAATTGGGCAAGATAGGACAGTCCAATTAACTATTCCATCCTTGCTTAAGATCATACACATTCATATGTATTCACCAGTAATAAGTATTTATACATCTGGTGATGAATTGATATATTTTGCCACCCTTAATAAATAATTCTAATAAGGAAGGTGACTCTGAAGCTGTAAAAGTAGCAGGGTTAAACTTAAATTCCAGCAGATTTTTTCTGTTGCATGTTTTTTTTTTTTTCCAATTTATATCCTGCCTTTTTCCTACAAAGGGCCGAAGGCAGCTTACAGCATTCTCCTCCTCCATCTTATCCCCACAACAACAACAACCCTGTGAGGTAGACTGGGCTGAGAGTCTCTGACTGGCCCAAAGTCACCCAGTTGGCTCCATGGCTGAGCGGGGACTAGAACCCTGATCGCCTGAGTCCCAGTCCCATGCTCTTAACCACTACACCACACTGGCTCTCAGTGTATTGCCATTTAGCTGTAGCTGACAAATGATATTCTGCACATAGAGCAGAAAATGGCAAAAAGTTGTCATTCATACCCACTAAAATTTAGTTTGTGCATCCAAGCCTGCCAGACAAACATTCTCATACCAATTTTATATCTGGTTTCCCCCATAAACATAGTTTCGAATGAGAGAATGGATCAAAATGTCCTTGATGTGACACTGTGCACCACACCTCTCTGACTGTTGTACCTGTGGGAGGTACCCTGTCGGTTTTAATATGTCACTTCGCATTTCATACAAACTCAGCCAAAGTGTGGAATGCATTTGCTGGTTCAATCACGGCTCAGTTCTTTGTTCATTAGTTTTTGAGGTTTTGAATCTGGCTTATTTGTTTGCTCTTCCACTCCATTTCCAGGTCATCAGGGTTGAGGACATCAGACTTGGGGTATAGTTCAAAAGCCTTTAGTGCCTCAAAGCTGATGTCTGCAAATCTGCAAATCATTTTATTTGTAACCTGCCCAGGGAGTCTTATGGCTAATGGGGCAGGATAAAAGTCTAATAAATTAATATATAAAATCTGTGATAGGGAGGGTATGGAAATGGCAGGAGAGGAGTCATTTTATATTGCATTAGACTGTGGCAACAGCAGGGATGATGAGCAGAATCTCCATCTGACTGGCTCACAGATGAGCCACAAATGCAGTGAAGAGCTCAGTCATTATTACATCCAGTGTTTCAGTTTAGCTGCCAGAAAGGACAGAAATCTTGGTATCCATAAGGCATATAGCAAATTTCTCAGGCTTTCTTACTTTATTGCAAGCAAATAAAAGATTAAGTTATCTTAATTTTTCACTGTCAGTGTTCCCTTACAGATGTTGACTGACCTGAACACTTACTTGAATAAAGCCATTCCTGATACAAGGCTGACTATCAAGAAGTATTTGGATGTGAAGTTTGAGTATTTGGTGAGCAATCTTATGTTGTTGTTCTTAATTCTAAGATGAAAAATTATTCTTTAAGGAAATCATGAGGCCTAGAAATGAGTTCCAGTCATGTTCTCTGCAAAATGATTTCAGTGTTGTCTGTGGTTAGTTTGGCTTAAAACAGATTGAGCAACTTTGCTTTTAATTTCATGTCAACTGACAGTATTTTACAGCTGCATTCATAATTCTCAAAACAGTGGTTCATCTAGTCTGAAAATCAAGACAGTAGCTGTGAACAGGAGCTCTGCAGGAAGTGAGCAAGAAGGAAAAATCAAGTGTAGTGTGTTCATTTGTTCACCTCCAGTTTCTGAAAATGGCAAGGGGAAAAAATGAGAGTAGGTGTAAATTTTAGGCAGCATGCCATTGTTTTCAGCTGCAGCTTCAAATCAACTCCAAATCAGTAGCAAGCAAAACTACTAGGTAAACTGACTTAGCAGGATACCAGCTCTTAAAAGGGGCTGCTTCTGCACTTGGACTTCAGTGGCATTTGCTGCATATTGTAGGCAGGCACGGGCAGTGACATTTCAATCTGTAGTCTTCTTACTTAAAAGCCAAAAAGGAAAATGATGTAGTACGTAAATCAGTCTTGAAGGGGATGTAGCTCACCGATTGAGCACCTGATTTGTATGCAGATGGTCCCAAATTCAATCCCTGCCATCTCCAGGCAGGGCTAGAAACAAATCCTGCCTTAAATCCTGGAGTAGAAAGGTATGAGCTCAACAGATTTCCTCATGAGTTCAGATCTAATGATCAGAAGTGGCTGAGTCGGGGTTTGGTTGGGTTGGATTTGGTTTGGTTTTTACAGACTTCCGTCTCCAACTGTAATCAACTGTAATTAGTATGCATTTTTACTTGCTAATAAAGTTTGTGCCCCCCCAAAACTCATCTGGCTGTAGTGTGATTCATGTGGAACCAATACATTTGCATTTAATCAGAATTTGTGTAAATTGTGATTTGTGATAATTGGCTGATTTGGCAAACAGATCATACCAGAACCACATGATTTTTGGCATTTATTTGTGCAAATTTCTTTATTGGCTAAAAGAATGCACAAATTATGGGCTGTTCCATAGAGAGAAGTCTGCAGACTGGTTCAGTTTGCTCCACAGAGAGTCAGTGCCAGCACAAGTGTTAGGGTTAGGAAAATCTGGGTCCCTGTGCATGTCCAGCAGTCTGGAACTAGCTTCAATTGTAGTAAGAGTATGTGGTCAAAAAGAACATCTTGACTTCTACTTTTCTTATGCGTTATTTCTGAATGCTCAAATATGTATTATACCTGCGTTAACTTTAGTTTTGTGTTAGGAATGCCTGGGCTCCAGTGCATGTCTGTGAGCCTGGAAATATTCTAGACTAGGTGAAAAAGGTGAGCAGTCAGCAAGAACATTCTGAGTGCTGCCTTTGAGTGTTGTTTGAACATACAGGGGTTATAACTGTGTGTTATGGGTAGGGCTACGGGTCGGATTTCGAAAACCTCTTTCCCTGTGTATGTCCCAGCACTCTGAAAAAAGCCTAGATCAGGTAAAACAATGAGAGCAGTCAACATGAGCCCCCAGGGTGCTCCATTTCTCCTTGTTGACTGAATGTGTACACCTTATTTGGGTGTTAGGATTGTAGTTAGGACTAGGAAATCCTGGCTCCCTGTTCATGTCCATGGGCCTGGGAAAAGCCTCAACTGGACAGAAAGAATGAGCAGAGAACAAGAATACCATTAGTACTGTCTTTATGCATGTTGAGTAATTTTACGGAGATTAGGGTTAAACATCAATTTAGGATTACATTTAGGAAAGCCTGAACATCTGTGCATGTCCATTACCCTGGAAATACCCTAGATTTGGCAAACAGTAAAAATGGTCAACAAGAACCCCCTGAATGCTGTTGTCAGAATGAACAGGGTTATTTCTGGGTGTTCGGATGTAGGTTATACACCTGAGGTCACACATGCCTACCCTGGAACAACTTTGCTGCCAGCCAGTGTCAGCAGTACTAGGCTGGATGGAACAAGGTTCTGTCATTGTAACAGATGAGAGAGAGAGTCCATTACAGCCACCCAGTTGCATATGCCTTCTAATTAAGATAGTAGTACCTTTCTCCTCTTTCCCAATTTTCCTTCCTTCCTTCTTTCTAGAGTGGTATATATGATTATTGTGTATGGAAAGATACTTTATATGGTATTTGTTCTCAAAAGATATAGTTCCCCCTTTTGTTTCAGTTTTCTGTTTAATATATATTGACAGATTAAAACCAAAACAAAACCTCATGCCTTTGAAATGTGTTGGAGCACAGTTCCCATCAACCCTGCCAGCAAGCCTTGGAGTGAGCATCCTGACTGGGGGTGATGGAGTCTTAGTCCATCATACCTTAAGGGAACCAGGTTGGAGAAGGTTTTATGTCTTAAATGTATGTTAGGCTTTAAGGTGCCACAGGACTGCTGTTGTTTCTGCTGCAACAAACTTACATGGTTACTCCTCCAGAAAATGTAACTTCGTGTATTTCTTCCTCCTTTCAGTCCTACTGTCTCAAGGTGAAGGAGATGGATGATGAGGAGTGCAGCTGCATTGTAAGTACTGTGGCTCTAACATGCAGGCTGCTTCCATTGCAGTTACATGTTTCCTCACAGGCACTCCTACAGGTTTTCCTACTTCCACAACTTAAAGGCAGGGATAGATGTTCTAATTCTTCCCTTATTGAGGTCTTTCAAACTGTGTATTCTCATGAAAATAATTGCCAACAATGATATCCTGTAAAATGCCTTCTTGTGGCTTTTCTTTGATTCTTAAAGGTGCCTCAGAGGAATTGGGTGTAGAGCTTGCTTCAGGCATTATGGTTGGTTGGTTAGATAGTGCTTATTCTAAGAACATGTACATTTCCTTTTATATTTCTTTAAACTTGTGTACTCTTGCTAGGCAGGGTTTTATGAGTGCACTTAGGACATTATATAAAGTTACAATTTTGAAACAATCAACATTTCAAGTAAAAACACATTGTTCACTTCAGTGTGGTGGAAGAGGCACCATCCATTCTGGTGTTTCACAATCAGCTGTTTATTTCTTGATCCCACTTACCATGTGACTATCCTTGTGATTCATCTCTTTTGATTGAAACATTGGCTGCCCTGCCTGTAGGTTCTAGGCTCAGTCCTTGCCAAAAGCAGCTTCAGGTTTTATTACTTTTAATAATGTCAGCCAGCTAGTGTTGTGACATGATCACATGAGGAGCTGGAGTTCACTGGGGCAGATCAGGGAAGCATTTGGTCCTACATGAAACTATTGAACAATTTCTGGTTGGTTGCAACAGAGATGTGGTATTTTGGGCAGGCACTTGGAGAACCTCTCTATCGGGTCAGCACTGGGAATTATGAATATCGCTTAATCCTCCGTTGCCGCCAAGAGGCACGTACGCGCTTTGCCAAGATGAGGAAGGACGTGCTAGAAAAGATAGAGCTGCTAGACCAGAAACATGGTGAGTTTGGCTACCTTTTTTCAACATACAAAGACCTAGTTATCACTACAAAGGCGCAGACAATTAATAATTGTATAATAAAGACCCATGTATGCATGAAAAAGCTAGAGATGCAGTTGGGCTTGCAGAAGGATAAGAACCAAGCCACTTAGAGCACACCCCATCCAAAGAAATCCTTTTCATCAAGCATGCTAGTATGTACTTCTTGCATGGGGCTGACACTGTACTTCTTCCGTTCTTCTGAAGAATATCAGAAGCTGCTGATGGAATGTATAGGTGCCAGCTGTCTGCCATATGCAACATTGCTGTCGTGCAGAAATGGACAGTTTTCAAACCAAGATCCAGTTGTTTTATGTACCATCAACTCAGCCACACCGTAAAGGAGATGGCTTGAGTGCGCAGAAGGCAACTGGTTTCTAGGCACAGGTGTCAAACCTGCTGTGATCTTCCAGACTGCTTTGTGCTTCCTTTGCAATAGCTGGGATTGGAAAAGCAGAAGAGTACAGGTGAGTGAATTCGGAACACAATGAAAATTCAGCTAATGCAGAAAGAAGATACTGAGTTAGAGAAATGTTTTTGTACTGGGTGAACTCTCCAAGGTGAGGCTGAAGGTTCAAGAGTAGGACATCTTGGTGTTCGTTTTTTTAAGCTTAGAAAGGTATCTTGGAGCTTAAGGAAGGCCGAGAAGTATGGATGGGGTGACATCCTTTCAAAATGTTGTAGCCCACCTTAAACTGACTTACTAAGGACATAAAAATTAAAAGAATTCATAGTTTTGTCTTGGAGCTTACATCTGTCAGGACTTCTGCACTTTGAAATGTCTATTGCCTAGATCAACTGACCTTCTTCTAGTATAAGACAAAGATTGCTTGGCTGAACTCATTCGTTTTGGTTCCTTCACAATGTGAAGATATATTAACATGAACACGCATTCCCTTGATTGCAGTAAAGCATGTTTCTGAAGTGTGTGCTTTGATTCCAGAGTCTTTGGTCTCCTGATCTCTTGCTCAATCGCTTCAGCAAAAGCCACATTTGAGAGAGTAAGGCAGGCTGCAAAATCCAAGGATTGTAGTTACACTGAGGAAATCTGCAGAATTGGCAGCAGTTTCCTACACACCAGTTTGTCCAGTGGGGAAGGATGATGCATGCTGCTCCTTTCTTACAGCTTTCCCAATGTGTCTTCCCCTGCAGTGCAAGACATTGTGTTCCAGCTCCAACGCTTCGTTTCCACCCTTTCCAAGTATTATGATGACTGCTATGCTGTACTGCGGGATGCAGATGTCTTTCCCATTGAAGTGGATCTGGCCCGTACCACACTGAGTTATGGCCAGAAGGATGTCTTCACAGATGGGGCAGAGGATGAGGAGGAAGAAGAAGGGGAATGCAGCCGGAAGGAAGAAGAGAATGGTGAGAAACTCATTGATGATGCCTGAGCTCACAAACTTGATGAGGTGGAAAACCCCTGCAAAGACTGATAAATTCTATTTCTCTAGACAACTTGTTTACAGTGACTTTTTTGTCTGTATAAGCCCAGTTGTGGAATCAAGATTCTGACTTGACTGTGGGCAGTTGGGATGGCTTGGAACTAAAATCGTTCATGCACGGCCCCTCTTCCAAAAGTGTCCTCCTGCCTGGTATGTCTAAATGACCTTTTTTCAAAATTTCATTGCCAACTTGAGGAGATGGCCAGAGGAAGATTGACTACATTGGAAAACCCTTCAGTCCTCATCCCAGCAAGGCTGCCTGTGCAGAGGGGCTTCATTTGAATGTACAGGAAACACATTTCTATTAACTAAATGATGATCAGTGCAGACTCCTTGTGTGTTAGTTAAGTCCAAAAATATCATGGGGTAGGAGAAGAAGAATGGCTGAAGGTTTTTTGGTTCCTTCTTCCTCCTCCACTTTTCATCTTGAATTACATTTCTCTTAAAAGATAGGTTTAATTCAGAGAATAGATCCCTTTCTTACCATTGGTCATAGGTCTTATTAGACCAGAAGGATGAAACCAGAAAAAATGGCCTTGAAGATAAAGGTAATTTTAAAGACCATCTGAGGATTATCATTATCCTCCATAGGATGGCATCAGTATGGATAGTCACTATGGAATGTGATGTTGGGATTAAATTGCATTGCTATATGTTTCCAGTCAGTACCATGCAATATGTCATGACTGTTCTTAGCCAATACCAAATCCATAAGGATCACATAGTCATAACCCTCCTGCTGTGTGATCTTTTCTAAAATACAGAAAAGTTCCAGTATTTAACATAGTGGCCACTTTGGAAAGTTTATATAGCAAGCAGGGAAATGGTATCTATGAAAGGAGGCCATCGATTTGCTGAGGTTAAAAATCAACCATTTTAAGCATTACAGTTCTAATTTGTATCCTGCACTTTCATTACACCTACGCATTTTCTTTTATTCTTTTGAAATATTGCTCCTGAGGACAGAGAGCCCATTATGAGCCCCAAACAGTATTTCCTCCCCCTCATTCACTCATGTAATGTTAAAAGAAAGAGGTCACTGAGAAGGAGGAAGGGTAAATTAGGGCATAATCCATATTTAGGCAGCAAAAAGTCCTACAACTCTCCGCATTCTCCAACCAGCCATTCTGGCTTGGAAATATTGAGAGTTGTAGTATTTTTCCTTGTCTAAACATGCACAGGATTACATCCTGATCCTCTGAGGAATTCTCCCAGTCCTGTACCTTTTTGCAATTTCTAACAGAACACAGTGACATTTTGTCCTGATTAGTAAGAATGATCTTTTGGAAATAATGGGCATTGGCTACTACATCACTCCATGAGATTGTGGCAGCTTGTCAAGGAGAGAAGGTATATAACAGCATTAAATGTGTGTCCTTGTAACTTCCCCTTGGTTTTTGTTTCTTTTTGCATCCTTCTTCGTGAATGGCCAAGAAAAGACTATGTGGGTCCAGGGCCCTTCAGTGGGCTTTTATGTGTGGACTAATAAAGAAAAAATGAACTTTCTGTCTCTTTTCCTCCTAATTTTTAACAATTTGGTTCATCTTCCTGTTCAGATCACAGGAAGAGGGATGATGGGCAGAGAGTGTTAGTAAATCAAGTAGCCTTTTAGCCAAGGAGTTATTTGCCTCCAAAAGGGAGGTGTTGCAGTGCCTGTTGCAGTAATTTTGAAATCCAAAAGCACGACATTGAATAAATTCAGATGCACTCCCCCTGAAAAGGCTCAGAGCTCAGTTCATCCTCCTAAAGGTTGTCCTGGGGCACTTTTTGCAGGCTTAAGGAAGACATTTGGAGCACAGTCCATTGTTCTGTGGCCTCACTGCTTGGAAGCCCTCATACTCAGAGTATTCTAAGATCTCTTTGGTCTGCCAGGCAGAAGTAGCAGCAGAGGTGATCTTTGCACCCCATGCAAAGATCTATATTTTTTGTTAGATAAGTTTTTCAGCCAGTCTAGCAAAGGCACTTTGGAGGAGGCAAGAGAGAGGGAGAAAGAGGCTCAGATAAATTGTATCTGGCCTCTCCAGTCTCTTCCCCTCCCTGCTCACCAAAACACCTCCTTTTCCCTCTCTTTTCCAACCTTGGAGAGGCAGTCTGTGCAGTTCTTTCCACACTAGCTGTGTGCAATTAGTGTCAGATCACTCATGCTTCCAAAGTTGGAGTGCTATCACCAAACCTAGGAAGGGTCTTCCGAGCCATCTTATGGTCCCAGAGGGCATGGAATCATTCTTTTCAGAGTTTTCTGTCATTGCAAATAGATGCATATACATTCATAAAAACTGTACAAATGAGAAACAGGTATCCTGAATGTATTATATTGCTGCTAGCCTAACAAGAAGGATTGTGTCCTTTCAGGCCTATTGCCCTTAGAGAGTTTCATTTCTTAAGTTTCCTGAAAATGGGACAGTGTACTGTATTTTTCCAACTATGAGATGCCCCCATGTATAGGACCCCCCCCCACTTTTCTTACCAATCTCTGAGCAAGCAAGCTGCTGCTGCGCACATACCACCTCCCCGCACCCACGCCCACCTCTCCCCCAATTGCACCCACGCCCACCTCCTCCCCAAGCGTGCCCACGATCGGGCCAGTCTCCCCCCAACCCCGATCGCAGCCGCAGTTCTCCTCTCAGCTCCACATGTATAAGATGCCCCTCCATTTTTAGGTAAATATTTTAAAGAAAAAGTATCATCTTATGCAAGGAAAAATACAGTATATATTGTGGTATTGTGGACACAATATCATATACTTTCTGCACAGCATTCTCAGCATTTTCAGGTATGAGATGCTCTGGAGAGTGTGAACAATGAGAAACTGAAAAACCAGAGAGAATTTGGACAAATGTTCCAGTGGTGAAGAACTGTAGCTATGGTACCCTACATTGACTTGTAGGTTTTACATAGTTTCTGCTTTTTTCTAATCATGATTTTTGCTGTTGGGCTGTGAAAATGCTCTTAATGTACATTGTGTCTAGCTCTAAGTAACACACGCATACCTTGTTCTATTGCCAACTTCACCTCTATACCATAGCTGACTTCGTAAATTTGCAACCTTCTCTTGAGGACAGGGAGTAGAGTTTGTGAGAAACTTGTGAATTTTGTCTAAGAGGCACTAATTCCTAGCCATAGCTCTCTAGGTAATAACTCCTTCACCATAGCGAGGTTGTTAAAGAAACTATGTTTGGCTGTTTTTCAAGCGTTTCATTTGAATTTGTTTTCTCTACTAGAAGATGCTTCAAAGGCTACCTGCCTGAAATGAAATACATTATCCTATAAAATGCATTTAATTTTTTTTTCAATGGCAAATAAGGTTTTGAGTAGTTGAAGTAGTGTGCCCCAGGTTATCCTGCTCAGAGGACAGTTGAATGCATTCGTGAAGCTCATTCTGCCCCATAGCTTGCATAAACCAGCACCTTCAAGGATAGTTCTGCACTCACAAGATAAGCTATTTGCCGTCGGTGCAGAGGAAAGAGTCTTTGTCTTTTCAAGAGTCTATGTACAAACAGCATTGGAGAAGGAGCAAATACACTGGCTACATGAAGATGCCCATTGCCCTGCTTGGCTGAAAAGACTGCAATTGGAAGTATCCTCCTATTTGGGTTAAATGAGCTGTTAGGTATTGCACTACATCAGCTGCATAGCTGCTTTCTTGTCAGTTAAAAGCCACTGCCTATAAGCAAATAAATCTCCAGCCACTTAGGAAGTTATCAGTTATCACGTATAAGTTGTGGCATTAAACATGAGCTCAGAGATAGGGGAATAATGCCCATTCTTTTGCAGCTCCTGCCAGATGTTGTAATTATTGTCTGATGCCTCTCTGATGTAGCAAAGGTCTTTTAAGTGCTGGTCTGGGCATTTTAGGTCAGGTTATCAAGGCACCGGAAGGAAGGGCTTTGGCAGAGGTTGTTTATGGGAGACCTGGTAGTAAAGCAGATTATGTGTGATTTAGGCATGCCCAAGAAGGTAGTTTTCATCCAGAAATCCATTTTAAAGACCCAAGAGGCCCTTGGCCTAATTTGCTTGTTAAGTTCACCCTTCATTTCAGCCTCTTGGCTGCAATTTGTTCTTTATTTTGTTAGCACAGATGCCTTTATGTAAAGTGGGGTAAAAATACATTTTGTACCGTGCTTGGAGTGAATTATCCCTTAGGACAGAAGCATATCTTGTTTGGAGAATGCAGAAACTCTTTGTAAGGACTTACCTGTGTGGTGAGATCACCTCAGAGTAACACATTTGTTTTAAATATAGATTTCATCTTTCAGTGCCATAAGATGATGTGTTCATGCACATCCAGCTGCACCACATCCCTCCTACTTTGAAGAGGGACGAATGTTTACACTAAATTTAAGGAGACCAGAAAACCATCTCAGAATGAAGCACACATCTGAGTTAACCCTGATGGCAGTTTGGTGAGTTGCCAGCTGTACAGCTGCTCTTGCTTGCTTTCCTTCCTCCCAGTTACTTTCAGGCATTTTCATGGGACTAGTATCAAAGATAATTTCATAGTGGTTTAGAGTGTGGGACTAAGACTCAGGAGATTGGATGCTAGTTCCCACTCAGCAATGGAGCTAACTGGGTGACTTTGGGCCAGTCACGGTCTCTCAACCCAACCTACCTCACAGCGTTGTTGTTGTGAGAATAAGATTGCGAGAAAGAGAATTGTGTAAGCTGCCTTGAGTTCCTTGAAATGAAGAAAAACAGGATATAAATAGAATAATTAAATACCAGACATGTCCCTTCAGTCCTACTATTCAGCTTTTGTTTTGCACATTTCGTGAGAGTTCTCTATTAACTGTTTGCATTTTAGGCTATCTAGGAAGGTAAACCAAACAGAAACTCTACAGTTGGAGCATGGAAAAGACCTCAGTGAACCAATTAGATCAATCTTGACACAGAATAATTTACTGTCATTATAATTTAATAAGTGATAAGAAAAAGTCTATTCAGTGGCAGTATAGGCCCTCTGAACCAGCACTACACAAAAATCTAAACCATGTTATGCAGCAGTGCAAAAACTTGCTTCCTTCTCATTTAGACTTAAATCACCCAATTGGTGTCATAGGCTTAGCCTAAGTGGAGGGCCTAAAGCATTCTTGAAATCACCTAGCTAGCCTTCCCCTCAAATAGTGATCTTCCTATCATCTTTGGTTAGGCTTTTGCAATCTGGTGTCTTCTGCTTTTGTGTATTCTATACTATACATTTCTATACTAACCAATAGCCAAAGTGCTCTAGGAAATTGATGAGCACCTCTTGCAGCAGCAACAACCATAAAGTTCTTGTTTCAGGACCCACCCCAGTTCTACACAGATGCACGATAATCATGCAAGGATCAGAGAATAGTAGGGAATCCCATCTAGTTTGTCTTGTTGACATAAAATTAGTAGCATCAGACAGGGCAGACTTGCTTTTATTATAAGATCAAAGAATAGTAGAGTTGGAAGGGGCCAAGAAGGCCATCAAGTCCAGCCCCCTGCTGTTGCAGGTCACCAGTTTACACCATCCCACTCAGATGACTGTCCAAGTTGTCTGTGACCAAATGCTTGGCATAAGTTGGTTTCTCTTGGAGTAACACTCCACTCATATTAGGTAAGGCAATTGTTTTTATTAGATTGCTCTGCGTGCGCGCACACCAACCCAGCTTGCAAACTTGAAAGTGTTGTTCACAAGAATGAATGGAAGGTAAAATTAATTCTGAACTGGCATACAAAATGGGAGTTGGTTAACATAGAATATTTGACTTGTTCTCAGGAAACATATTATTCATGTGTAGTTATTATTTCTACTGTTCCAAAAAATATTGGCTATACAAGCCCTAAGAGCACCCCTGCTGGGTAAACCATAATCAGTAGGTTCATGTGTATTAAGGACAGGCTCTGAAGTGCATCCAGTTTGCTTAAACCCCTGCCTAGATGTCTGTGACATACATATTTATGCCGTGGAGAGGGCTTAGTAAATAATGGGTGTTTTCTGAAGCAGATATTTCCTACCAAAGCAGGATAATGTCATGGGACGGCAGGGCAAGAGGCCTCATGTTAGAAGGAAGTTCAGTTACAGCTGACCTGTGTCAGTCCCCAGCTGATAAACTCAGTTGACTCTTATTGCAAAAGGGGCACTTCTTTCCCTTTAAGAGCTCTGCACAGCATCCAACTGGCACAGTACCTCCTATTGTAGCAACAGTGAATAACTTTTGATCAGCATTGAACTCTTTAAAGAGACAGAAGCCCTGTCCTCAGTGGAATATCTTGGGTGCATTTTTGGTAAGACGGACAGTCCTTTGCACTTGTGACATCTGAGCTCTACTTTAGAGCATTGAGTGGATAGTCTGACTTACCTGAAATGTTTATACTGAATGTTTAATTACTATCTCTGAAGATCCAGTTTCAGGGACTTCATTGTTCTGGCACCCCTTCCCATTTTAGACACAGCTAAAACTGGCCTCCTTACACTAAAGTTTAGAGGCTCTGGTCAACCTCGTAGCCTACCAGTACCAACCCAGAAGGAAGAAAAGCTGCTTTATCTGGCCAGCTGAAACCTGTCCAACAGTAGACATCTTCTTAACTGCATACTCTTTCTCAGAGAAGCTGTGGCACTGAGTCAGTTTGTCAAAAAACATCGTATTACTTGCCAGCCTAATTACCAGCCTTCTGCTAAAGCTGTTGTGTCCTGTACTTCTGATTTAACAGGAAACACCATGTTCAGGGGTCATGATTATTATGTGATCGTCTCCTTTGCTAGACTCTGGGTCTGTAAAGGCAATTTAGAAAAACATAACTGATGGTTTTATCAGATTTTAACTGCAACCTCCAGATTTATCAAACATCTCTGATTTGCCAGAATGTGAGAGCAAACTCTTGCAGTGAGGGAAAGCATTGTACAATACCACAGGCCGAGCTGGGGAGGGGAAGAGATGACACTATGGCTTGTACTCCTTAGAGAATTATGTTCATGGTACTACTAGTCAGTTACCTATGAAAATCGTTATTACTGGGACTCTCTCTTTCCACCATTCAGACATATCCATTTCCCCTCTATATTTTACATCCCATGCATTGGTGGTATTGTTTTTGTTCTCTGAAGCTGACTTCCACATAGCTAAAAACTGTTTCTTTCGACTGTCTGGTTGACATTGCAGCCACTTGGTACCAATGCTTCCCCCTCTCCTTCCCGGCGCCCACTTCCACCTTCATTTCTGTTCTCTTCAATGTGGTTCACTGTATCACCTCCAGCACTGTTACTGCTGTGAGACAGGCGGTGATTGTCAGCAGGGTGATCATCCGCTTCCTGGACATCTGATTCTGCTTCCTCTGTTTCACTGCCACCTCCACCTGCTGGAGGATTCTCTGGTTGAGAGGTCTTATTTTTCTGCCGAGTGAGGCAACAATAGGAAGCAATAGCCAGGAAGAGAGCAGACAGTACAACCTCTGAGCCAGCCAGGTAGAAAATAACCTCATACCTCTTGAGTGCATCCACCAATATCCCTAGAATTAAAACAAGGAAAAGAAAAAGGAACTGTGGCGTAGCTGAACTATAAACTTACTCCTCTTTCATGTAAATGCCATATTAAAAGACTTACTAAGAACTTGGAGCATGTGTTGTTTGAAAGCTCACAATGTTTGGGAATAGAAAACTTAAATCAGGTCCAAAGTCTGTAAACATACTCAGTAAGTTTTCACCTCCCCATCCCCATATGATCCTCTATCACATCACTTCAGCATCAGAGACTGGAGGACCTGTGGCAGTATCGAAATAGTTATTAAGATATGCATGTTGTTTAAATGATTGGAGGTTAATTTGGGCTGGCCTTTGAATATACCTGCCTATAAGGCAGGAACCATATGTAGTCATATTTATGGCATATCTGTTGTGATCAAGTTAGTCATTACTAACCCAAGTCTCATTGAATTCTTTCCCCTTGAAGGCAACCCTTCCTAGAGGAGAATGATGTTAAAACAGTAGTGCTCACACTGGTAACTTCTAAGTTTGATTTTCGTGATGTGCACTATATAGGGCTATCCTTATGCCTATTCAGAAGCTGCAACTAATACAAGTACAGCAGCTAGGCTGGCTTCTGGATCATCCTGAAGAAAACATATATCACCAATATTTTTATATTTTTGTACTGCTATTTATTTGTTGGAAGCCACCCCAAGGCTTATGTGAATGGGGTGGCATACAAGTTTCCCAAATAAACAAATAAATAAATAAATAAATAAATATCTCTGCACTAGCTGCCAATACATTTCTGGATACAGTTCAGAATATTGGTGGTCACCTTAAAGGCCTTCTTGAGTCAAAAAACCTTCAGGAGTGCCTTTACCCATATATTCCATTTCACCCACTAAGGTCTTATGCAGATAATTTCCCAAAGTTTGCTTTTGTATGATTTCAGCTACACAGAGGACTTTCTCAGTGGTTACCCCTAAACTAGGTCTCCTCTGGCAGACCTTTCTAGATTAGTATTTATTTACTGTGCTTGTTTTTAGTCAAATGTTAATCATTGTTGATTTAAATCTCTTGTAAACCACCCAAAGCCTATGGGAATGGGGTGGTATATAAAAATCTAAATATGGACATTCTCCAAGTATGGCCAAACCTTGATCTATCCATACCCTCTATCTCTGTTCCCACCACTGCTTCCAAGTTCTGTTTGTGGGTGTGTAAAGCCATGTCATAGAGCAAGAGAGAAATTAAGAAAGCCAGAATAAGAAAAGGATTTCATGCAAATTAGGATGGATTCCATTGGCTCCCAACTATATCAGTCATCACTTCTTAGGTAAGTCAAGGAATGTACGCACAAACTGAGCAGACAGGCAGGAATATGTGCTTTTTTAAGTAGGCTCCTTGTACTTATTTGGGTAGCCTGGCTCTTTGGGTAATATGCCAAGCCATAAACAGGAGGATGAACTATTTTTCTATGAATAAATCAGTATTCTGACATGGTAGATGTCACCATGTTAACTCAGACTGAGTAAAAACTGAAAGACAAGATAATTGAAGTATTTGAAAGGTAAAACATTTCAACAGAAAAAAACCTACATTTTAAAAGCTTCTTATAGTAAGCCTTTGTGGTGCCTAAAAGATCCATGTATCTGACCTGGAAGCTGGTTTGTACTATTGGAATAGGAGCTGAGAAACTCAAGTTCAATCCTCTACTTAGGCATCAAATTCAATGTGCATGAATTTTCACAACCTCTTTGCTTGAGCAACCTTTGAGAGATAATGCAGAAATAAAATGGGTGGGGAAAAGAGGAACCATAAATACATACTACCTTGAGATTTCTGGAAAAAAGGATGGTAAACCTATATTAAAAAACAAACCCACAAACCCTTGGCTCCTAACCACAGACTTGCAGTTATGCAGTAATATAGGATGGGGATTCTGCACATGCTCACCTTTTTATGACTCATAATTCTATTTTCACATTTGTGCTATAGCATGAAAAACTGACTCTTGATCTAAGCTGACCTGATGGGTCCCAGGTCAAATTAGGCCCTGCAAAAGGGAGAGATGTTTCCAGGTAGCAAAGCTCCAAGGCTTACCTGCAGAGGGTGGTCCAATGAGCACCGCCAAGGCCTCAATTAGCAGGACAAGACCAATGGCACTGGAGAACGTCTGTGATCCAATGATGGCCATTAGCACCTCAAACTGCAGTGCCCCAACCATCCCATAGGAGATGCCAAAGAAGACACAAAAGATGACAAGGGACGTATAGGTGCTAGCCTTAGCACTGAAGATATCCGTCAGGCCATTGAAGAGCAGGGCAAAGCTGAACAAGTAAGTTACATGGGGCCGTAACCACTTCAGCCCAGCGAGAATCCCACAGGATGGACGGGCAAAGATGTCAATGAAACCAATTATAGATAGCAGAAAAGCAGCCTCTTTGTCTGGGACACCTGTGTCTTTGGCATAATTGACCAGCAGTATGGGGGGCACAAAGAGACCCAGGACCATGATGAACATGGCAATGGTATAAATGACAAAGCCCCGGTTTTTGAAGATAGAGAAATCTAATAGCTTTTTCCCCTTCTTGGGCATCTTTTTCTTCTTGGCTTTCTTGGACTTCTTGGTGCTGTCCATGGTGCTGATAGCCTCTTCTGTCCTTCCTCCTATTGGCAGCATTTCTTTAGTTTCATATTTGTTCTGCGCTTTCTCTCTTGCCTTTTCCATGCTCATCTCCAGGGGTCTCATTACCGCACCACAAGTGCAACAGTTAAGTAGGAGACCCCCCATGATGAGGAATCCCCCTCGCCAGCCAAACTTATCCAGCAAGACTTGCCCCAGTGGAGAGAGGGCTGAAAGGAACACTGGGCTTCCAGCTGCAGCAAGCCCATTGGCCAGAGGTCTACGCTTGTCAAAGTAAGACCCTAGCATGATCAGAGAAGGCTGAAAGTTCAGAGCCATACCTAAACCTGCAGAATATAGAAAGGGAATTGTAGAAATAGGTGAGAGAAGATAATTTTAACAGATACTTAGTGTCTTAAGATCCCTACAGAGCTCTCCTGAAGCCTCCACCAAAGAATATGCTATTTAATCTTCCACTCATCCATGTAATGTATCATTTGATCCTTCAGCCATTATTTAACATTATTTGTCAGTGATAACAGTACCTCACCACAATAAGTAGGAGCACACACCCCACACTCAGTCATAGACTTTGTGATGCCTATATAAAAGTGCTCTTTCTGGTTTATATCTTCAATAACTTTCACACATGAGCACTAAAAGCAGTAGAAAGATACTTTTTGCATCATCTGTATGACAAAGCTCAATTGACTGTTCTTTCACTCTCCTTGACATACCTTAGCAGGTACTCCCAGCAATACCTGTTTCACATGCCGCCTATCTTTTCCAGGTGTATCTGTATAGGATATAGCTATTCTTCCTTGTTGTGCAAACACTCACCTGTCAGCATACCAGCCGTCAAGTACAGCTCAATAATGTTGGTGGTGAAGGAGGCTAAAATCATTCCAGAGGAAGCCAGCAGCCCCCCAACAAGCATCACAGGCCGGCACCCAAACTGGTTCACCATAATACTGCTCACGGGCCCTGCAGAGAATCCAAGAAATCAGAGAGGGAGGGAGATCCAGAGTGAAATAAAAAGGTTGATGAACATGAAATGTCAAATGAGCTTGAGTAGGTATGATGATTGCAAACAGCAGAAGACTTCCGTGCCTTCATTTGCAGCAAAGGTGGCCATCCAAATGCTGTTGAATCAAAATCCCCAACCTCTTAGACCATTGGCCATGCTGGCAGGGGCTGATAGAGGCCCACAGGTTTCCCTCTGTTGCCTTACAGATTTCATTTGGAGACCATCTGGAGAGAGAGAGTGCAAACCATTAGGGGGAGACCTGTTCCTACAATGTGGATGTGGATTTTTGCTTTCAGGAGTTAGCAATCGCTGAGTGTCAGAATGAAACCTTTAAAATGGGATTTTAAAATAGGACATGTGAAGAAACTGCAAATTGTGTTTTCTGTTCAGAAGGTTTCTGGGTTGCTGCATAATACTTTTCCTCTGTGAGGTTCTAAATGGAGTTCATTTAGTTTGAAATGAGTATACCTTAAACTGGCTGATAAACAAACCTCAGAGGTTGATACGTTTAAAAAAGCAGGAAAATCCTTCAGGATATCTAACAACCCATGAAAAGACATGCTAACAATTAAGGGAAGCCACTGGGCTTTGCGAAGGAATGGGATGGAATGGAATAGGATAGGCTGGAACAACCATGCTGAAGCTAAGTGGATCTGGGTCTGGTCAGTGCTTGAAAGCCACCTCGAGTTCCACAAAAGAAGGACGGTGGAATATAAATGTAAGAGGTAAATGAACAGGAGATGCAGGGGGCTGAACCAGACTTCCTGACAGAGCATGTGCTGCGTCACTTAGCCATGCGCCCTCCCAGAAAGTACAGGCCTATCTGGCTTCCCTGCTGTGCTGCTTCTTTGGGTGCATCCTTGAAGAGGAGCACTATCAGCAGTGCTGCATGCATTTGAAACACACCTTTGTGTTTGGTGCCTCATGGATGTAACTTGTCATCATACCTTTGTATGTTTCGTGCACATGCAAAAAGCTTGGGATGTGATGTCTGACCCTGTGCTTGCTTGTAGAGGAAAATCAGATGGCAGATACACCTAACTTCTAATAATCTTTTGGACAAACAAGCAAGAGGTTATGCAACACCATTCAAGTTCATAGCTAGCAATAGGAAATAACATGGCCTCTTTAACACTGAAAGTGTGGATGCTGTTGCTGATTTGTCTGCAAATTTCTCAGTTTGTATCCCAGCCTTTGGTATGTCAAACTGTATTTTCATGGAATGTTTTCCAAGATTAGTGCTTTCCCAACTAGGGTCCAGACATGGACTGCAGATGCTGGGGACAGCAGAAGATCTGAGATTGAAGGAATCTGAAAGGGAAGCAGATGGTGGACAGGGAGGGCATAGAATCATAGAATAGTAGAGTTGTAAGGGTCCATGAAGGCCATCTGGTCCAACCCCCTGCTGTTGCAGGACACCAACTTACACCACCCCACTCAGGTCACATGGGACTAGCAGTTAGCTGTTGACAAGAACAAGAGAAGGTGGGTGTGAAGGTCTGAATTTCAATTAGCCATTCAGAATAAACACCTCCTTGACCAGGTCTTTGCCACCACAGGTGTATAGATGTTTTTAAACATGGGCAGGAACTGGTTCATGGGGTGGGAATGTGGCACCCTCACCTGTTCCATACAGCATAGCTAACATGATCGATGAGATCCAAGCCGTGTCACTATAGCCCACGTGGAAGTCATGCATCAGCTCCTTGAAATAGATGCTCACTGCCTTTGGAAAGGCGTAGGAAAAGCCGGTGATGATGAAGCATCCGAGCAGCACGATCCAGCCCCAGCCACCATCTGGAGGCTTCACTCTTTCAGGCACCTGGCCTTCCTCTGCATCACCCCTTCCCATTGTCTAGGCAAGGGAAGGAACCTGAAAGCAAGCAAGGGCAAGGCAAGTAAGAACATGCAGAACATTGGTGCACACAAGCAACTGCCATCCCCTCCTTTAAGCTTTGCTGCTTCCTTCCTGTTCATGTGCTTTCTCTCTCTCTTACCCTCAGCCCACAGTCAATTGTAGCCATTTCTGCCTGGGGGAAAACATTTAAGGGTGTACAGTGCTGATCAACTCTGGGGAAAGGAAACTCTGGTATCACATTTGGACTGGGTTCATATAACATCAGCCATTTTGGGTTCCTGCCAACAAGGAGTGTCTGTGTTGTATAAACTCGGGCTGATCTCTACAGGGAAGCTTGTTTGAGCAGAGCAAACCACCTTGGCAACCCATAGACTCTTCTATGGGTTGTTTTGCCCACTATGAGTTGTCATGTCATCCAAATCCAGGTAACTGAGCCCATCTTGGGTAAAGGGCAAACCAAGTGTATTGCTGTTCTGGCCAAGAGGCTTCCAGACAACAGCCATCTCCAGCTTCTCCAAAAGTACACAAGCAACACTTGGCAGCCAATGGCAATAGCCCCTCCCCCCTCACATGATTGTGAGTTGTGGTTTGTTTGTTTGTTTTTTGCTTGCCATGCTTTTTTTCCCTTCAGTGCATTTCTCCTGAGGCCATGAAATCTGGCTGTCAAACCAGCTTTTGTAATCCCTGCTTTGATGTCTGCAGAGAGTCCCTTCAAAGTATACCAGCAACACCTTGGATGGGCAGCCCATGGTTGCCAGATTTCTTTTACTATTACTCCACTCCTAGTGTCTACAAATATTTGTGGAAAAACATTTGCAGTTGCATGGGTATGGAACAAAGAGCTTCAGGTGAGTAATGTTGTGGCGGGGGGGGGGGGACTGCTGGCAAAGTCCAACAGGTTCACACTCCAGGTGTTGCCCCACAGAGGATGCAGGTAAGTTTATTTTCCCGCTGATGCTGTCCAAAGAAAAACTGTCTAACCGAAGGTGCAAATGATCTGAGCTTGGGAAAAAGGTGTAGAGGCTTGCTCACCCTTTTCCCAACAATATCCTCATTGAGGGAAGGGTGAACTTCTGCCCTAAAGGTGCCCTTCTTTTTGCATTTGAGAAGCCACCATCTTCTTTCTTGCCTTGCTCCAGAAAACCAAATTAGACACTTTATGCAAATTATCCAAAACACTATGATCCAAACCTGGGCTTTGTGACAGCCATAGAACTATCACCTTCTTCCAGGTAGTAAGAATCCTACTCTTCCTGAAAGACGTGTTAACCACCTCTGAGATCCAGATTGAAATTGCCTCGCTGCATCAGTAAGAAGTGAAGGCTAGGGCATTTTGGTGGGCACCAAGAACAGTAAGGGTGCATCATTGCCGACGAGCAACACATTTTATGCAAGCTGTATCCTTTTTTGTCCGTGCAGAAATGGCTACTCCAGATACTTCCCTTACAATCGCTAGCACAGAGTTTGCCCTTTTCACTAGCACTTTGTTCTGTGAGGACAACTTCCTTGATCTGTCCACCATGGCAGTGAAGTGCAGTGGTTGGAGGTCTGGGCTGAGGCTGAGCAGACATGGCATCTAGTCCTCACCCAGCCGTGTAGCTCACTGGGTGACTAGGCACCAGTTGCCGACTCCCAGTCTAACCTGTCTCAGAGTTGGAGTTAGGATTAAAATGAAGAGCAAGAAGGTGATCATGCTACCTGGGGCCCCATGGAGGAAAGGTGAGTTATACTTGTAACAGATTAATAAAAAACCCCAAGATGTCCTTTCTAATTTGTCACTGAAAATACAAACTTCATAATTGAATTGGGGAAGTTGGGATTTTGTTTATTTGTTGTGTCAGTACAAAAGGCTAGACATCATTTTACACTGAGCTTGATTTACCATTTTTTCCCACTCTGTAATCAGTGGTGGACCCCTTCTTGTAACGTACTCCTTTTCTGAAATGCCATTCTAGTCAGTCGTTACTACAATATCCTGTGCTCAGTAAGTTCCAAAAGGAGATTAGACACATGTAACTTGCCATAAAACATTTAGAATCGCATGCATCATTTAATCACATCGGTGGCATAAAATGTGGGAATAAGTTCCTTCTCTTCCAAGGAGCCAATAGGAAGCTAGGAACTTCTCAACTTCTTTCTACTACTGATACTTCCTCTGAACTGTGTGGAAGCAAAGGATTATTGAGGATAAGGCCATCAATGGCTATTGGGGATGCTGGAGAATTTTGTTTGGCCTACATTCTTTAGCAAGCCCAACTAGTTTGTGCTTCCCAGACTAATATACAGGTCAGAGCATGGTCTGCCTTCAGATTTTGCAGTTCTTCAAATTCTACAATGCACTTCTCAACTTAAACATGACATACAAAAATTCATATGTTACAGAAAGTTGAGAATGGAAATAAACGTGAGATCATGATATTGTGGTAGAGAGGAGGAACTATGCCTATCCTTGATGCTAGCCCTGAAGTTGGCCATAGTACAAACAAGGTGCCACACTAAATAGCCTTTGGTCTGATCTAGAAGCATGGCTTCTCTGTATCATTACGTTTATTTGTATATTGAGTCAGGATATTTAGGTACTGGCGCTTACTTTGCGAGCAACTTCAAGTTAACTAGCTCCCCCCAACTCCTTTGCTTTCTTCTCCCATTCTTTTCTATCCTTTGTATTTAAATTGTGCAGTAGTGGGAAAGGGGCCCCATGATCTGCAGTTTGGCTTTAAAATATCAGCACAGACTTTGCTGGAGGCTGCATGTGGTCGCAGTGCGGAACATAATGGTTCATTCTTCTGAAAGACCTAAGCACACACAAGGCCAATCACACCCGCCACAGATGAAACTTTTTAAAAGGAAGCAAGTCTTGTGTACTTGCATGCCAGACAGATTATTTGCCTGCGTGTTAGTGCTGTGGCTGAGTACAAGGTATAGGTGCAACGAGGGGGACTGAGGGGTCAGTGAGGGTGGCTCAACCCCTTAAGCTGCTCAAGAATGTCAGTGTAGGGCCTGATTATTTCCCCTGTTTTCAAGCATGAGCCAGTCCTGAGCTTTGTGATACTGAGCACATTGCTGTAGCAGGAGTAAAAAGGGGCCACCCAGCCTGATCCTGCAGGCTTCAGTGACTGTGGCAATGGCCACAGGACAGATGATTCAACAGGCCTATCCTATTTATGCTTTTGCCAAGAAAACTCTTTCTGCCATCAGTCCTTGTAGGACCAACAGCCAGTGACACAGCCAGGTAACTTTAGACTCTGGACTAAGGATCTTACAGTGACATGCAAGGTGCTCCATGTCTATAATGTGCATTACTTCAGCTTCAGCTGGACGATTAACATCTCTCTCCACTGCATCCCCTTTCATGCTTTACAACAGTTTCTAAATTAGAGAGGGCAGAGGTTCATTGGAGGGGGCAGCCATTTTGCTGCCTTTTTGACTATATGCATGCCCAGCCATTTCTAAACAGACGAAGAAAGGATGCTGCAGTGTCAGGCGCAGATGCCCATCCAGCCCAGGTGGGCCTGTTTACTATTCGCCACATCACCTGCCCTCACCCGTCACTCCCTGGGTGAACATTTGAGGCCCCGGGGCTACAGAGCCCTGGATTCAACCTCAAAGACTTCAACTTAACACACACATGGGGTATCCTTAGATGTTAAATAATCTTGCCTCCCACAGCAATGCATAACTTGTTTTATTCACCACCATGGCAGTCCAAATCTTCTGCCACCATATCACAAACGATTGGCATGTTGACCATGAAATTTTAGCCAGGAGGATCCTTGCAGCCACAAACACCAACTCATCACCACCACCTTATCTTGTGAAGCCAGAACTAGAGAGCCAGTGCAGCAACAGCGTGGCACATTGTACCCTCCAAAACATGGCATGCCCATTGCTGGGGACCTGAAGTGGGAAGGTGCTCTTGCACGCCTGGATTGCCATTGTAACAGCAGAATGCTGGACTTGACAGGGTCTGGACATGGCCTGGCCCTTGACAGCTATGCGAAGCTATGTTCTTCAGGCCAACCACCAACCCTTTTAGATGGTTCTGCAGATTTCACCAACTTCAGGTTGATGGATACCCTTTTCTTGTGATAGTAATACGGATTACTTCAAAATGCAGCAAGCCAGCCATGCTACATTTGGGGGCCCTCGTGCTCATGCTGCTGTGTGGGAGCCGAGACGTCTTCCCCAGAGTCCAGCCCCGAGTGCTCCATCATGCAGCAATAGCAACAGGGACTGCTGCATTGATATTGGGGCTGCCCCCTTTTCCGTACTGGGCAGGAGAGAGGGCAGTCATGCCCCTTTCACCACATATGCCTGAACCAAATCAAACACAGCCTCACTCCGAGACCATGATAATGGCCTAGTACATTGTAGGCACCTCATTCAGAATTTGCAGTGGTGTGCTAAGAAGCACTTGGATGACAGGAGAAGCTGTCCCACACAGATGGCTGACTCCATGATGAATGATTACCTTGCATTTACATCCTAGCATGTTTTCTCTTGTGAGGAACCCAAGGTGGCTTACCTAACCTTTCACTCCACAACAAGCATGTGAGGGAGGTTAAGCTAAGAATGAATGTCTGGCCCAATGTTACCCAGGGAGCTTCATGGCCAAGCAGGGACTAGAAGTCAATACAAAGTGACATTCTAGATAAAATAGCTAAATATAACAGCCCAGCACACAGACCAAAGAAGATTTTCTTTCAGCTCTTCTGAAATACACCCCAATTTGGTAGATCTGTAGGGTAAATGAATTTCATTGGCCATGGGGGTCCCCAAGCAGTTGTCTGACTCTCTCCATTAAATGTTTTATTTATTTATTTATTAAAACATTTCTATGCCGCCCCTTGCCGAGGCCTCGGGGCGGCTTACAACATCAAATAAAATACAAAATACATTAAAACAATACCAATTAAAATATATACAGTAAAATAAAATAAGCCGCCCTGGCCGAATAAAATTCAATACTATTAACATTTATGGCTATTTTAAAC